CCAATGACGTTGGTTTGCCCACACAAAAAAACAAAAAACGAGAAACTTGAGCCGCGGCTCGTCGCAACTGAGTCTTACACAAAGTGACAAGACAAACCTGGACCCGTCGTCACCTTTGGTATGTCCTTGTTTGCATCGCACTTGGAACTTTCGCCTCTTCCCCGCAGTTTGTCGTTTTCAGACGGGCGAATGAGACAGATGGTGTGAGCGCGAGTGCAACGTGGTGGAGGGGAACCAGGTCAGCAACGAGGGGCGGTTTGTCAGTCTTGACCGTTTTTGACAGGATGTCAAGTAGATGCAAAGAGTCTTGTCGTCGAAGCGCAGGTCGGCACATGATTTGCTGCATGATCGCGTTGGATTGGCAGGTTCAATTGGGAAGTTGAAGCCGTTGGTTCGTTTCAATTTCATCGTCGTATCTGTTGGTTGGCTGCTCGTGCTGCGCCGCGCGGCGGCCATCTCCGACGATGTTCGACCAACCCACCGTTCATGTGACCACGAGATCCTCGTTGACGTGCCTCTTCCAGAGGCATGCGATGCATTGTCTGCAGGAAGTGGATGCACGCAGAGGACGGCAAAACGAACTCCTCACGTAAGAGGCGGGAGTTCCGTCCTCTTCAGCTCTAGCCTGGCAAAGGTCTGCACACCACGGGCTATCCGTAGCATCCCGTCAGCTCGCTCGTCTCGACTCTCTTCTCTCTAGTGAAAGAAACCCCGCTCTTCGGGCGACCGGTGCTTCGAGATAACGGCCGGCATTAGGCCGGACCCACCGGCCGATGGAGCTCGCCGACGCAGACCGAAACTCGTCCTGTTGCACTGCGACTGTGAATGACATCAGTCCCATCGCAGGGTGATCCGGACCCCGTCTTCCTCCACATTTTCTCGCTGTCCACGGCCGACGTTGCCTGTCTGCCTCGAACCATCGGCCGACGTTTCGCGGCGGCTCGGTGCGTCCACCCCGAACCCATGGCATTCCGGATTCTTCGCGTCGAAGGATTCGATTGCCTGCTGCTGAAGAAGCACCCCGTTGTGACCCGTTCGCATCCCCCAGTGGAGAAGATGATCCTGCATTCCGGGGCCCCCCGTTGACAGAGCTGCGGTTCTCCCAGTCCGGCCTGTTGGTGCTCATCTCGTGACATCTCCACACGATCTGGGGATGGGGTAGAGATGGGAATGAGGGGTAGCTTTCGAGAAAGCTGTCTTGTTTCTGTTCCCCATGGAGGGAGCTAACCCGACGCCGCGTCTAGCTGTTGGAGCTGAGTTTCCCACATGCGCGCGCACATGGGACCGCCGAGGGGGCCACTACAAATATTTTGTCAGCCCGTGAAACTCAATCCTCTTTCCGGTGCCTGATCTTCTCTTTTTACTCCTCACCTCGTTCCGCAAGATACCCATTTGTCCCGTCTCCTTCTTCACCTCCTGCTCGTTGCGCCCGTCGTCGTCGCCGTCGCAGTTGTCTTTGGATGCTCTCGTCTCTTCTCCCCGGCCGATTCAAACAATCCTCCGACAACATGTCTTCCAACGCGAACATCTCTTTCGTTGGTGCCATTGACCAGGGCACCACGAGCACGCGTTTCCTCATCTTCAACCCCCAAGGTGAGGTCATTGCGACGCACCAGCTTGAATTCAAGCAGATCTACCCCAACCCTGGGTGAGTTGCGCCCTCAATTGGCTTCGTTGTCGTTGCAGCGCGGGGAAACTAACTCGGCTGCGACAGCTGGCACGAGCATGACCCCGAGGAGCTTGTCTCTTCGGTCGAGAAGTGCATTGACGGCGCCGTCCAGGCCTTTGAGACCCAGGGCCACTCCCGCGACCAGATCAAGGCCGTCGGTATCACCAACCAGAGAGAGACCACTGTTCTTTGGGACAAGACCACCGGCAAGGCTCTGTACAATGCCATCGTTTGGACCGACACCCGTACCAAGGACCTCGTCCGTAAGCTGAAGAACCGCCTCGGCGCTAGCGAGCTCACCCAGCGATGCGGTCTGCCTCTTTCCACATACCCTTCCGTCGGCAAGCTGCTTTGGTTGATTGAGAACGTTCCCGAGGTCAAGGATGCTTACGAGCGCGGTGTCCTGGCTTTCGGTACCGTCGACACCTGGTTGGTCTACAAGCTGAACGGCGGCCCGTCGCGCGATGTCTACGTCTCCGATCCCTCCAACGCCGCCCGTACCATGTTCATGAACATCCACACTCTTCAATACGACGAGGACCTCATCGACTGGTTCAGAATTGACCCCAAGAAGGTCAAGCTCGCCAAGATTGTGCGCTCGTCCGATCCCGAGGCTTACGGCACCCTGGCCAACACCGCTTTGAGCGGTACTAAGATCACTGGCTGCTTGGGTGACCAGTCCGCAGCTCTTGTCGGCCAGAAGGGTTTCACTGCAGGTCTGGCCAAGAACACCTACGGTACCGGTTGCTTCTTGTTGTACAACATCGGTCCTAAGCCGGTCATCTCCTCCCACGGTCTCTTGACCACCGTCGCCTTCGACTTCGGTCCCGGCAAGACCATGTATGCTCTCGAGGGAAGCATTGCTGTTGCCGGATCAAGTGTCAAGTTCCTCGTGGACAACTTCGGTTTCATGGAGTCGTCCTCCAAGCTCAGCGCTCTCGCCGAGACGGTCGAGGACAACGGCGGTTGCACCTTCGTCACCGCTTTCAGCGGACTGTTTGCGCCCTACTGGATTGACGATGCCCGCGGCACCATCTTCGGTATCACTGCCTACACGCAGCGTGGCCACATCGCCCGCGCCACCCTCGAGGCTACCTGCTTCCAGACCAAGGCCATTCTGGACTCCATGGAGAAGGACAGTGGCGCTGCCCTCACTGAGCTCGCCGTCGACGGTGGCATGTGCAACTCCGACCTCGTCATGCAGGTAAGAGACCCCGGACCTTTTCCGCGCAACGGGACGGAGAAAAAGACTAACCCCTGTACAGACCCAGTCCGACATCATTGGCATCCCTGTCAACCGACCTGGCATGCGCGAGACCACCGCCCTTGGCGCGGCCATCGCGGCAGGTTTCGCTGTGGGGGTCTGGAAGAGCTTCGACGAGCTCAAGGACGTCAACCTGGAGGGTCGCACTATCTTCAAGCCCCAGATCACGGACGAGGATGCGGCGAAGCGCTTCGGTCGCTGGGAGAAGGCCGTCCAGATGAGCAAGGGCTGGTCAAGCTAAGCGGGTTGTGCGCGTTGAGTCTTCATGTTTTTTCATGTTTTTTTGCCATATACCACTGTGTTGCTTGGGACATCCCATCACGACGGCGGCGCGAACGAGGTTGGGCGTCTATTGGAGTAGGCTCCAAATTGTATCATAGGTACCACGACGGAATGACGCATTTTGCTTCTTTGTCATATCTCTTGTGTTTGTGTGCTTCGGGCTGGGTGATGGACTCTGTGCCCTATCCGTGTTTGACTTGCAATTTTTTGTGATGCCGCCAAGTCGAAAACTTCAAGGAAAACCGCAGTTGTTGATTCACATTGATCCATCTCCACGTGTGTTTCTGGCTGTAAGCCCGGAAGATCGGAAGGCGGGCTGTCCCCGTGGCTACATCGTCCCGGTTGGACTGAGTCAGTGACAGTCCGCGGTCTGGATCGAATTTGTCGTCATTGTTGGCACCGTGGAGGAGTTTCCGCGTTTCTCGGACGAAGCCCGCGGATGACGATCGTACACCACCAGCCATCTTGCGCCCCGCGCGAGAGACATCGTGAAGACCACTGCCGCTCCCCCCACCTTTTGACGGTTATAAGACCCCATGGATGATGCTCGCAGAAACAGCCTTGACAGGGGAAGGTAACGAGCGGGGTGCGATTCGGGGTGGCCGGGGTGCGGCGCTATTTGCCAAATGGGGGACGTCTTGATCGCAAAACTTGGAGACAGATGAGGGGACTAGAGACGCAAAGCGGTTCCTGCGTCTCCTGTAGTAGCCTGTAATAGTTGCCTTTGGACCGGTTGACGATTGTTGTTACAGAAGGGTTCGGAGATGACTCTCGTTATCGTAATCGCCTGCTGAGGGCTCATCATTGGGCGCAACAATGTCCCCTCATCCGTTCCGTCCGTCCCATGCCGCGGGATGTTGTGTGTGACGGTTTTCCGGAAAACCTAGAGGGCACGGGACAGGTTGGTTCATCGGCTTGGCTGGTTGGCGCGCAAAGGCGGCGCGGCGGAGTCTTTATTTCTCGTCTTCCGTGGCCTTCCGTTGATTTTTTCTTGCGACACGCAAGATCCAGCTGATATTGTGGACGGAAGTGGGCCGATAACTGGACCAGATCTTTTTCCTTTGCATCCTTCTTTGCGTGTCGGGTGAGAACACCGAAAAGCCCCGTTGCTCGCTGTTGATCTTTCTGGTCAAACTCAGGCTGTCAGACACACCAGAGATTCAACAGCCTGCTCAGTGCTGACAAAGTCATCTTTCGCGGACTTGGCTTTCCCGACTCTTTCACCCCTAGTCTCCTCAGTCCTTTGCCGCTCGCTGAAGATTCGGGGGTCTCTTCTTCGTTTCCCTGTTCCCCCCCTTTACAGAGCCCTTGCAAGTTGCTGCTGCTGCTGCTGCTGCTGCGTTGCTTGTGTCCAGTGTGCTTGTACTTGCGCTCTGCAGGCTGCAGGTTCGTGCACTCAACTGGAACCAGCTGCCCACGTTGCCCAGAAGTCCCAAGACTTGCCCTCAACTCGGCCAACCACGGCCGCCAACGCCGGATTATCTCCATGCGCCCCAGGTGCTGCGGCGCGCGCATCCCATTCCACGTCTTCCCGTCTCCTCTGCCATCCCGGCCGGCTGAGGCAATTCGTTAGCTCGCACTTTTACTGCTTGCTGCACGCCCGCCCGCCAGTGAAATGACCACTTTCTGACATCGAAATTGGCCCTGCTCCTTCAGGCTCCATCCAAAAGGGTCCTGATAAGAGCAAGACTTCACTTTCTGTCAGAGTAAAAAGGGGAAATGTGGAGTTCCCACGACAATGGGACAAACATGCTAGGAACGAATGCCAATGCACGTCCGCAATCAATGGCCGAGGAGGAAGCGAACTCGGTCTTCAGCCACGACGAAGGCTCGAGTGGTGATGACACGACCAACAACGGCTCGGCCGGACCACCGAGAAAGCGCAAGAGGGAGAAGCACCAGAAGACATCGTATGTTGTTTGCCGCTGATGCTGTGTGTGATACCCGGCTAACCGCGTTCCAGATGCGAGCTGTGCAAGGCGAGGAAGGTGAAATGCGATCGTGCAGAGCCCGCCTGCTCATGGTGTGCTCGACACAACCGCACCTGTGTTTATCTCGAGAGACAGAAACCGGGCAGCCGTATTGGTTTCAGTCTCGAACTTGAGGCCAAGGTCAACAGGCTTGATGCGCTCCTGCAGGCCCTGGGTCGTCGCGTGGAGGATCATATTGCCAGCGACCATGTCGCCAGTACCCAGGCCCTTTCCCCGGCTATCAGCAACCAAGCATCATCTCAAGTCGAAGGATTCCATCATGACGGAAACGGCGTCAACCCTGCAACGGCTATTCCAAGAAGTGCACCGACCTCCAATGGAAGGACACCGGCGTTTTCGAGTCCGTTTTGGCAAGGCGGTGATGCTCAGGAGGCGCTTCAAAATGGCGATCGAACTTCGGTTCAGGCTCTGCTGAACCTCTCTGCTGGCGAGCCCTTCTCGCAGACAGGTGCATCTCCCGGTATTTCTGGACCGCGGAAAGATGCAGCTTCTCTGTCATCTGTATCAGAGTTCCCGCCGCACGACATGCTCTACACGCTTGTCGACCTTTACTTCAAACACTGCAACACCTGGTGCCCGATTCTTGACCGCAAGACCACGTTCGGTGCCTTCTTCGGTTCGACTTCCCTCACCGACGCCGACCGCGTGCTGTTGCACGCCATTGTGGCAACGACACTCAGGTTCCTGAAAGACCCGCGGCTGTCACCCGAGATGCGATCCCACTACCACGCTGTCTCGAAGGGCAGGGTTCAGATATACGCCATGGAGAATGTTAGTATCGCGGCGCTGAGGGCGTTGGTCATCCTGTGTTTGGATGAGCTTGGAACCTCCAACGGACCGCGCGGCTGGAATATGCTTGCGCTTCTCGCACAAAACGTGAGACAGCTTGAGCTGTGTGAGGAAAGCAGTGTTTACCTTACAGCCGAAGCCGAAGAGACACCGCATACTGGTTCGATTCGCAGGGTCGCTACGGGTCGACCCGAATCATGGATTGAAGATGAAGGCAGGCGACGTTTGTGCTGGATGGTATACCTCCTCGATCGATACGCCACGATCGCGACAACCACCTTCGATTTCATGCTCGACGACAAGAAGATGAAGCGAGGTCTTCCGTGTTCGTACGACTTATTTTCCAGAAACGTTCCCGTTGAGACGAGAGCATGGAGCCCCTCCTCCGATCCGACCGCCCCTCCAGCGATCAACAAGCCGGACAATCTCGGCAGTTTCTCATACCACTGCGAGATCCTGCGGATACTCAGCAAAGTCCACGACTTTCTGAAGACGCCCATCGATGTTACATCATCGGCTGAGATGGCCGTTTGGCGCAACACATACAGGTCGTTGGACGGCGCGCTTGACAATTGGCTGCAAAGCCTGCCGAGTGAATACAGCAGGATATCGGCGCTGTGCCACTCAGACCCAGCTAGCCGTGTCGCGAACTGGTTCATGCTGCACAGCGCATATGTCACGTCGGTGGTGCGTCTGCATTCCTCGGCTGCGTACCCCACCGTGAGATCTCACATCTTCGTCCCATCACATTATGCAATGCAGCGGTGTCTGTCGGCGGTGCAAAGCCTTGGTGACATTGCCCAGGATGTTTTTGAGGCCAATGGCCTTGACCTGCTGGGCCCTCCCTTCGCGTTCTCATTATGGGTGGCTGCGAGGTTGTTGCTTGTCCATGCAGCGACAGTAGGCTGCCCCGTTGACCCCAAGATTGATTTCTTCATCGAAACCCTCAGACATGTCGGCCAGTATTGGGAAGTGGCGAACAATTATGCCAAAATCCTCGCTCGGGTAGTCCAGCGTGGACGTCAAGGCGACATGAACTTTACTGCCATGAGAAAGTTAGTACTTCGTATATGCTGCCCCCGCGCTCCCGGACTCTGCTGACAACATCGTCTCCAGGAGTGCTCATGACCTAGTGACCCTAACATCTTCCACACGGCGATCTGGCTTGGAGCCAACGTCGACACAAGTAACATCGTTAAGCGAGCTCGACAACATCGACGTATTTGACTTCTTCAGTTATCCGAAGACATCGGACCCACAAGCGAGAGCCGGCAATGGCATCTTACAAGCCCAGGTGATGAGCGGCTTGGGCGGCGACTCCATGAGAAGCACCGGTGTGCCGGACCCGGAATCGGACTGGCTTGGATTCAATACCCCTTTCAGTTGAAGCGGCATCATTGGTTTTGTGACAATGAGGTATCGTGGGCAAGTTATGGACCCCGGTGATTGACGGGGCTGGCGCTGGTGGACTTGGAAGAGGCGTTTCTGAGGCGCTGTAACCTTGATTATTGATGGATCTGCTGTGGCTTCGAGATACAGCCGCAAGGGAGGTCAGGGCCGTGGCCCAATTGAATTCGCAGATCCCCGCACAGCTGACGAGAGACACTCCACCGTGACTGGCTGAGCCACCCCTGATCGCCTGTGTTCGCCATGACGTTGAAACGTTGCTCTTCGAACTCGCTCATCTTGTGAACGCTTCTTGTCTCTTGCGACCTGCAACAACTGTTGACACCAACAATCAACTTGATTGAAGACGATTATCCTCCCAGCAATCTTTCGAAGAGGCAGAAAATGGCGCCAAACCAGGGTCTTGTGCATCTCAAGGAGTATGACATCAAGGACAGTAATGTCGAACTCATTGGCACGGACATCGACCATCGCGTGAAGTATAACTCCGCCTCAACCGAGCCAGCATGGAACGACGGAAAGGTCGGCCAGACAGCAGGCCTTCACATCTGGCGCATCGAGGACTTTGAGGTCGTGCCCTGGCCGAAGGAGAAGTATGGCCAATTCATGGATGGCGACAGCTACATCGTCCTCCATTCATACAAGGTCGGCTCCAAGGACGATGCTGAGAAGCTCGGTCACGAGATCTTCTTCTGGCTCGGGGCCCACACCTCGCAGGATGAGGCCGGCACTGCAGCGTACAAGACAGTAGAGCTCGATGAGTTCCTGCACGGAGCTGCGACACAGCATCGTGAGGTGCAGGAGGCGCCCTCTGATGAGTTCTTGGAGCTCTTCCCCCGTATCCAGATCCGCTCCGGGGGCGTCAGATCGGGCTTTCGTCATGTCGAGGAGGAAGAGCCCAAGGAACAGATCCTCACGCTGCTGCGCATCTTCAAGAACCCGTCGGTCGGCGCCAGTGGCGTTGTGGTGCACGAGGTCGAGCCAACCTGGAAGAGCCTGGACGACGGGGATGTGTATGTGCTGGACACAGGCGACAAGATCTGGCAATGGCAGGGCAAGAGCTGCAGCCCGATGGAAAAGGCCAAGGCTGCACAGGTTGTCAACGATATGACTCTCGCGAAGCACATCGATGTCGAGGTCTTGACTCAAGAGGAGTCGAGGTCGCGCGTGATCGTGGGGCTCCTCGGCGGCGACGACGACACGCCCCAGAGCGGCTTCAAGTGCCCCAGGCCTGTGAGGTCAGCTTCCAAGGCCCACGCTGGCGAGCGGCCCCAGAAGCTCTTCAGGCTCAGCGATGCCTCTGGCGATCTCAGGTTCGACCTCGTCAAGGACGGAAGCAAGGCATCCATGTCGGATTTCGATGGACAGGACGTCTTTCTCTTGGACGACGCGGGCCGCGCCGTGTGGGTGTGGGAAGGACAAGGTGCCAGCAGGGGTGAGAAGGCCAACTGGCTCAGGGTCGCGCAGGCGTACGTCCGCCAATTGCAGGGAGGAGACGAGGCAAGCGAAGCGTATCTCACGCCTGTGGCCAAGGTAGTCGAGGGCAACGAGAGCCGGGCGTTCTTGAAGGCCGTGCAGGCTTAAGAGGAGTAGATGGGAGGATAGAACTCCTTGGTTTGCCGTTTGCTTAGTCGAGAATTAAAATTTTGACGTGATCTTACAAGAGATATGTCAGTCCTCAAACCCAGTGTCGTCGTTGCGAAACTTACTCGCATCGTACTCAGTGTCTCCAGATTGATTCGCGGACAAGGTTCATGTTGATTGTTGATGTTTGAAGTCGAGTTAGGTTGCCTGCTGGGTGTTGATTGAGAAGAAGATGTGAAGGTAGGAACCCGGAAGAAGATTGACGACAATGTCTTTCGGGGAAGGGACCTGCAAATGAAGGCAGGTACCATCTCCTCACGGCTCGCGCCTGCCTTTGATGACGTTCATCTGTTTGTGGCAGGCACCGGATGGTGGGGCCGGCCGAGCTTCCTTCCCGTTCAAGCATGCCGGACCTCGGAGGAAGCTGCCGGCCAAGAGATTAGGCAGGTCCCGAGCAGGTCCTGTCATTATTTACAGGGTTCATCGGGGACATCAACGCGTCAAAACATATACTTCACTTAAGAAACTAGGCCTATGCTTAATTGAGGGGTTATATCATGTGTCTGTAAGGAGCTAGTCCGAGGCTATCTTTAAAGACCATCTAGTCGTTCAGCATGCTGTCGAGGGTGAAACAACAACGCCGGGCTTCAATTCCATCCACCATATAACTATTCAGTTTCAAAACCAGTAACAGTGCCACCTGAGTAAACGCCAATTCCTTGAAACGCCATCCCAATCCCCGATGTACCAGCCCAAAGTCAGATTTGGATACAGCTGGTCAACATAAGTTGACGTTGCGGATGTCTTCATGAGCATCATGAGCATCGTTGAACTCGATCAGCCCCATTCATACCTGCCCGGCATATGGATACTCGTACAGAAAGCTAAGAACGGCGTCCATCAAATTGGCCCATGATCCTCGCCAACTCAGTCTGTGTTTTCCCACGGTGTTGTGCCTCGCTTGTTCTTGGGTCGGTGCCTTGATACGCAACTCGGTATACGCTGCCATCGTGGGAGACAGGTTGGCTTTGGAACATCGAGAGCCGCCGTTGGGCTAGTGCGTGTTGGGAATCCGTCGTGGTGTAGGTGTGAGGCAGTCTCGACGAGGTGTTACTGGGCAGTCTCGGTTAGTATAAAGGTCTCTTATTCCACCACTCGAAAGCTTCAAGAGACGTTAGACATACCCGTAGTAAGATGACTGCGCTGACTGTCCGGCCATCGTTGGGGTTCAGCCTGACGAAGATTTACAGACAAGATCTCTCTCAAGAGCAAATGAAGCACAGAATCGTCGTTTGAGACTCAATTAGCGATACGAGTATCTTTCACTGGGAATCGCTTTACTGCATGGACGCCATATTTTCCAGGGCCCAAAATTGGTTCTGTTTAAATAGTTTCAGATTACAAATGCGAACCATGATCCCCAAGCACTCAGATCTATGTAGAAACAGTGTAGTCCAGCTCTCACATCTCCAGAGCGTGAAGAATTGCCTGAGCTTGGCATAGCGACGGGTAAGTCCCAATCCCTCGAGGTCCGCTGTGTTCCGCCCGGGTCCGATTCAGGGTGCGCTCCATCGTTCTAGCAACCCGAGTCCTGATGGCGGCTCGTCATGCGGCGAGGGTCTGCCGTCGCCGGGCCGCAGACAGGCAGAGCGGTAATGAACAACCGATCGAGGTTACACCTGTATAAGCATGTCAGAAATGTCCGCATCAAGTCTCAAGAGCAGTGTGGTGGGCAGCTACCATGATCCAACCCCTAGCCTATCGAAGTCGATCGACGGTCAAGACCAGCCATGCAGCTACGGGAGGTATGAACCAAGCCGTCAAACCAGGTTTGGGTGGTTTGGAAGAGCATGGAACCGTCATGTTTGAACTGCCATTGGCCAAACAACATCTGAGATCTGGCGAAGGACTCTTCGCGCGAACGCTGATATGGTCGTGTCGCGAAAACTTCGCAACAACGCCCTCAGAACGACAGCTGTCACATCCATGTTGAATATGAACAGTAGGCCAAAGGTACATTTGAAACCAAATGAACCGAGTGGTCAAAACCATTGGGCTCAAAACATCCAGCATTCATGAGAAAATGGGCGGTGCCTACGCCGTACATCCGACACGTCGGGCCGTTGCCTTCGTGTACTGGAGACAGCTTCAGAGTATTAAGGTCTCCGTGTCCCGAAATGCTCATATTTCGCGTGAAAGCCTCATCTCAATGTTGGATGTGCCCAAAATGCGTTTACACAACGAAAATGCCGCTGCCGGGTCTGCGCATCCTGACTTCAGGAACGTCCAGGCAACAGACTCTCAGGATGACGGCGCATATCCGCGCCAGACGCCTGATTGCCTCATTGATTACATTGGTCAAAACTTCGACCGCCGTCACCAATGGCAAAGATCTGAGACAAAAACGTTGATTCCGGCATTTCTCGTCCAACTTTGGTCGAGTCGTGGAGGTCGTAGAGAGCTGGGAAGAGAAAGAAGGAGAGAGGGATTCGCACAACCCAGGCGAGCTTCCCCGCTGTGTTGCAGCGCTTCCGCTGACAGACCTCCACTTCTGTTAGGGCGTTTCTGCCTGCTGTGGTGTAACGCGAAATGATGCCTCGCGCCTCATTTTTTCGCTTCACTTCTTGCCTTGCAGATTGCCTTGGTCGCCTCTCGATGCCTGCTTTCGCCTTTTTTTGTCTTCCCATGAGACTTCCTTGGGTCGCCAGCTTCGCCAGGAGGCTATGACCGCGTCGATCTGTTGGCGTGGTTCGCTCGAAAATCGGGAGAGACCAGGTGTGGCCAAGTGCTCGCGGCTGGGGGACTTCCTTCGTGAGTGTTGGGTCTTTTTTCTCATATCCAACTGTTGATTGCAGTGTTGAATACTGACTTCGAACTCGTACAGCTGACAATATTCGTGATCAGGGACATGAGACTTGATGTGAATGGCCGTCTCGACCGATGAGAAGGAAAAGGTCATTGCGAGAAATAACGAATGTAAGAAAGTTGCTGTGGCCGGCGCTATAGAATGAAAGACCACGAAGACTGATAGAGGGAAGAGAGTTGGAGAGGTGTTTCCACCAGAGGGGGGAAGTATCTAAATACTGCGCCGACCAAACCCGCAGAGCCTCAACTTTGCGGACTTGTATGAGGCGAGCAGAGCCGCAATGCGAACTGGCATTGACTGACCCCTCCATCGCAGAGCCTCATCGTCATGGGCTTCGCTCACGTCCCCCCTCGCTTTTTTAATCTTTCATTCTCCCATTGTGGTCGCGCATCATTGTGAGCCAAGCATGCTACCCACCACTCTGCAAGTTCTACCTCAGCATCACACTTACATGACTCATTAGCCTAGGTAGGCCTCAAGTTAATAGCAAGGCCTATTGGGCCCAAATCTACATCAAGTGTCAAGACCATAGATTGTACTTGGACGTTAAGGACAAATACATATATGCATATGCATCCATTGATGCATGTAAGTTGTCCGCCTGAATGAGTTTCTCCCACTTTTCACTCGTTTGCTAAATTAGACATGGAACACAGCAATCCCTGTTTCCCCTCATCCCAATGGTTCTCGTGCTTGACTTGGACGCTAGATGCTCCCTTCAGGGCCGCTGCTGGCTGAGCCTCCGTTTGACTAGAAAAAATGATCAAGTCAAATGACTAACCGATTGGAAAGAAAAATAAAAAGATACCATGATGAATGTTCAAACAGACTTACTGGCTCTGTTGGTGTAGATCTGGGTGGCAGCGCATCCTCGCGTTTTGGCGGACGGCATGCAGCGACTGTGCTTAGTGACAGGGAACCTTAGGGCTCGAAGAGCTGCTGCACGCGCTGTAACATTCTGTCGCCGACACACAAATCCTCATCTGCTGTGACTGGCATGCATCGTTTTTTTACAGTTCTTCATAAACCTGATCCTCGATCGGCGAGAATCACTCGATCATATTCATCTGACCTTGTCCTGAAAATGATCTGAGATTTCATCGTTTGCTGGGAAATTACCCGTTAACGCACGCATTCAGGTGCCACTGATCCGAGGGAGCCACATCAACTGCACAACAGCAACTGCATATTGCTACTAAATAAAGGTCGCATCTTACATCAGCTTTCAATCGTCAAGTATGGTTGTATTTCAGAACGAAGTGATTCTATTGAATTATCTCTGAGATAAATCCAATCCACTCCACTGAAGCATCTCCTGGCAGTCCTTCATACATCCACAAGTGCTCAGATGGATAACAGCAGTACACAGCGTCAGGGGCTTCCAGACCTGATGAGATAAATTAACTTCACACTCCGCAAGAAGACAATACATTTCTTAGAAAAGCGATTGAAAAACAAAGACACTGATGTTACTCAGGTCGACTCATATCACGGCCAGTGGCACTCGGCAATCGCGCATTACGCCTGATAGCGATAGCTGAAGGCGACCACCCTTCCAATTTCTGAGTTCGAGCACTCACCCAACATGGCGCCTCGCAGGGCCGACATACGCGGTCAGAATCAAGAACGAATGACAATCAATTGATCACCTAGATGTGTTGCCGATTCTTAGCCACGTTTCGATAATCATATTGGATCCCCTATTGTTCTCCCTTCTTGTTGGATGGCGGTGAGTTGCTTATTAACGGTGCCTGGCCGTGGCTCTCAACTCGCCCCCCAGCTCTCTCCGTTCCACGTCTTTATCACATACTTTCTCAGACATTATTCGAACGAATGCAAACTTGCCAAGCTTTGGATCTTTCGCCGTCATAATGGACGACAGGGACGAGTAAATAATGAATCCGATCAAGTCTTGAATGAAACCAGACATAATCGACACCCACCGCCAACACGGCAAGGACATGGTCATCCTCAACCCTTCTGCCGGTAAGGTCTGAAATGGGTTAATTACACGCGGCTTCCTGTCGGGAATGACATGGTCGTCGGCGACGTCAGCTGAACGCATGAGAAGCGTCTCAATATTCCATCAACAATACAGAGTATGTGTTTACCTTTTCCATCAGTGAGTTACTTTACAAGTTCCGTATTAGCTGTTTCCCAGCCAGTCATTGTGCTAATCTCGTCCCTCGCGCCACAACAAAATCCAAAGCTTTTGGACTTTTCCGTCAATCAGCTGGTGATATGCTGTTCGAGAGACGCCGCGATGAATATCACAGAAACAATTATTGGTTTTCCATTCATCTGGTACTTTCATAAGCAGTGTCATTCGCAGAATAATCAGCGGCGGACTAACGTCGAGTCCTTGGAGTTGGGGTTGGTCACAGTAGACGGCAATAACTGATTTGCCATTTGGACCCTCGGCCCGAGGGCCCAGCAACAAGCAGACATCCAAGCGCCACCATGAAGTCTATAATCTTCGATGATATCTAGTCCTAGGCAATTCTGACACTTATTTGAATAAGCCGGCCATCATTGCGTTTTTAATTGAACCATATTGGAGGCCAACAGTCCTTCACCGTGACACCAAGCAACAACTTCGCGTGCCGCGTCCTACTTCAATCATCACCATGAATGGGGACTTCCAGACAAAGACCCAACCACCGCCGGATCTGAGCTTTCTGCGACTCTCTTACCCGATAGACCATGTTCTCCTAGCTCGAATGGATCGCCCATCGGCCTTAAACGCACTTTCTTCCTCAGCGCTTCGAGAGCTGGACTCCGTTCTAGACTGGTACGATTCCGAACCAGCTTTGCGCGTCTTAGTCGTCACAGGGACGGGCCGCGCCTTCACAGCAGGAGCAGATCTCAAAGAGTGGCGACGCACCCTTGAAGGAGACAGCGGTCAGCAGTTCGGGGCTCGGGAGGGCACTGTTCCGTTCACGCGCCGTAAAGGGAAGAAGCCTATCATTGCAGCAGTCAATGGGCTTGCTTTCGGCGGCGGATGTGAGTTCGCCGTGAATTGCGACCTCGTTGTGGCAGCAGACACGGCGGTCTTTGGCCTTCCTGAAGTCAAACGAGGACTTGCCCCAACCGGAGGCGTGCTCACCCGCATAGTCCACACTGCTGGGATGCAGGTGGCATCCGAGATCGTTTTGACGGGGCGGAAGCTGACTGCCCAGGAGATGCATGCTTGGGGGATAGTGAATCAGGTCGTTGCGGAGGACAAGGTTGTTGACGAAGCATTGCGGTATGCGTCGATGATTTCGGAAAACAGCCCGGACGCAATAATCGCTGCGAGAGCCGGCTTACGTCAAGCTTGGGAGACGGCAGATGTTGAGAAGGCTACAGAAGAGTGGTTCAAGCAGCACTTCAGTTTGCTCGAAAGGGGTGAGAATATACGGGAGGGCTTGGCGGCTTTTGAGCAGAAACGAGCTCCTGCCTGGAAAGAATCCAAGCTGTAGAAGGTCGTGCCGGTCAGAGTAACTTTTGTCCATGCGTGTGCACATGGGCAAAAAGCCAGTGTCACTTCGAATATCGGGCGTCTAAGTTATATGAATTCAAGTGCCCCTTATGCCGCTATCCTGACAGTTATTCGTGTGTATGAAAGACTCAATACTGTTGACTATTTTGCCTCATCAAAAGAAATCTTCGATCATTGATATGGTCTCAGCGTCATGCCAAAAGCTTGGGTTCTGATGATTCGACCATGACGGCAATAGATGACAATGTAGATATTATCCATGTTTGAATCTCGTTGAACACCCCAATTGATCAACGGGAGCAGTGAATAGAATCAGTTATATACAAAACTGGCCGCTGCCATCCAATTGCACTCAAGTCCGGACCTGGAAGCCATCATTCATGCCGAACTTCTCATGATTTTGTCTGCAAGAAGCCCATAGAAGATGATGGCTTTCTCTTGATATGCGGCAGTATCGAGGTATGAGTATCCAGGATCGTGTTGGACATCGAAATCGTCTCGGTGGCCGCGAAGTAGTCTCATGTAGTACCCGGGAGGAAGACCATGAGCTATGAGTAGCCATTGAATCGCTTGTCAAAGTCGGCTATCCTCCCCGCCGCTTCCGACGTATGGTGGGTCTTGCTCTCGCGGACGTCACTCTCCTTACCGGAGATGTGGTACGTGTTTCTGGATGAATCCTTATTATACTCGGAGAACCGTCGCCTGGAGAGAGTGTTCTCGGATTCCGCCGTAGAGCATGTGTGGGAAGCTTTCGCCGTGGCAGTGCTAGACAAATGACATGTTAGCCGCGGCAAAATGTTCCCATACATCTCCCCAGGTAGCGGAAGCATACCCGTTGTAGATGGACCCGCGAGAATCCATATTGAAGGGTGCAAAAACGTAGACCGCAGGGAGGTGTTCAATGAGAGACTTTGCTATCTAGGAACTGTAGGCCACAGATGGGAGCCGGGAACCCGCGAGAAGTTGTGATGCTGGTGATGTTGTAGATGCCACATTTTCGAGGTTCTCATGGAATTCCCATTTGAATTTATAGATGTTTGCCGGGCGAACTACTCTATCTACAAAGTTCCTCCCAAGTAGAGCCACTGCTTATTCCACTCTTGTACGGAAGATGGTTCGCACTGGGGTGACACGACCAGCTGGGAAAGGCTCCACCCGTGTAGTAGATAGAAATGTAAAATGATAGAGCGTCGTAGCGTCCGAGAAGCTATGGTTGAGTGCGCTGCCATGGGTGAAAGTCGTTGGTGAGGGGCTGGCGGAAGAAGGAGGGGATGTTGTCGACAGCGTCGGCATGGCATGGCTACCCGAGGGGCACGTCGATCAGTGTTACACAACAACCGCTTATGAGTTAGTGCACGTATGCGACAACTGAGATGACGACTGACTATCAGAACTCTGCCCTAGACTTGAAAGGGTGCCTTGATATGTCGATGCGCGTACTTCGCTCAACACCAAAAAGAGAGGCTCAACATCCTGTTGGTTTCCGTGGAGATATTTCCAGTGTAAGTTGCCTTTGTTTGCAGACAGGAAAATGTTTGGTGATTGGGTGAACAAGAGACAAAGGACCGGACCACTCCGGGAGAGGCCGTGTCGGAACCTCCGACGCCGACCTCCACATCCGGTGCCGAATCGCCGGGCCGGCGCGAAAACTAGAGAATGACGACCGAAACTTCGACGCCATCCCAACATTCGGCCTTGTGAACCCAACTCGAGTTCCCGAGTGCACCAGTTTGGCAGTTCGTCGGCTCGGACACTCGTCGAGAGACCTTCGCGAAAGGATCGCGAAAACCACCAATCCACGATAACAACATATCCTAATAAGCCGATGGAAGGAGTGATTCGACCATAGAAACACGCCCAAGGAAACGGAGAGAGTCATCCCGGGTTCGGCGCATGCCAAGTTCTTTGAGCGGGCGGAGATTTGCCGAATCTGGCAGACGAGTTAATCCATCAATTCTCATTCGGAGAAACAAGTCCACCAGTCTTCACCAGCCGACATCGCCTGAAGCAGAAACAGGACCGACATACTGTCGGGCGGCAAGGCATGGCTAATGGCGATACTACGCTGCAAGCTGCAAGCTGTTCGGCGGTGAAAGGCAGGATTCGCAAAAGAGGAAGGCAGTCAACGCCATGATGCTGGGATGCGTTGATTGGACCTGGCGTTTTGTCGGTGAAGCAAACTGGCGCAACGCGAACGCAGGCTGACGTGGCATCGTACGTTGTTCTGTTGCCTCGAATTGCCTCGTGAGGGGATCGAATTGCCTAAGTATCGTGGTTCGCAAATGTTCGTAAGGCAGCCGTGAGATGTCTTGACATCTTTTCGCGCCTGTGACTGCCAAATGGTGCCAGGTGTCGCGCTGTGAGCGCCAGACGTGGTGTGTGATGTGGCTTCGCGATGCTGAGAGAAAATGGAATAATAATGGAAGCTGACTGTTATGGCATGGATTGAGAAGAGGAGACCTACCCAAGATGTTGATGGCTATAACTTGTTAGCGATTTCGAGAGGCCTCACTGCGGAAGTATTGATATCGCAATGCGACAATACAGTGTGTCATGCTGCTTTGATTGTGACGCTTGTGGAGGTAAACGTGAGCGAAAGACTGAGTAAGGGGCTGAAAGACAGATGGAAAAGGGGCTCGACTTATATAACGCGTAGCAGTGTTAGACGAAGAGACAACCCGAGCTGAAGTGGAAGAATTTAAGTTCCTGGTTCATCGTTGCTGCGAGGGGACGTATGAATATAAGAAAACCACCCTCCGGTCCATGTCCGTACGTTCCAGATGTGAATGCAAAAGGTACGACGCTGCACCTCTTATTGGGCTAATTTACGAACTTCCACCGAAGACAGCCCACCTGCCGATGCACCCAACCCCAACTGCGGCGACCGCAGCCTATCAATAACGAGGGAAGTGGACAGATTAGGTTGTGGTCGATCAGAAGACTCGGACTTCACATTCGGCACAGGTACCCCGCCAGAGCGGATGGGCACCTAAGGTAGTGTCTGGACCCACTCACAGGCGAACCAACCTGGATGCCTCCTTGTCGGCGTGCAAGACATCGTGATGATGAAGGCATCCCTCACTAGGTAGGTAAGGTAAGTCTTCAACTTTGAGAGGGTGACGCTGTTTCAGAGAGCGCCACTATAACTAGATGACAAGACGTGAACAAGTGATTTCACTTTTTTCTGAATGTCCTATCAAATTATATCCTTCGCGCCAAGTGCCAGCCGCCATCTTCTATGTCAACCGCGATTGTACTTTGAATAGTCGCATCATTCAGGTGTGATAGCATCTCCTCATACCAATTAACGACTCGTTCCACAGGGTGCTCGCCTGGACCTGCTGACCCAATAGATTCGCCGGAAGGTATACCGTACGACAGTATCCAAGTACACCTCGAGAAGCGTGTTGAAGAATAATTTGACGGCACTGGCGGAATTGAGGACGGTTAGTGTTGCTGAGGCAGGATTGGGCTAGGCGCACATCCCTGAAGGCGGGGTCATCGTTGAGCAGTCCTAGTCCTGCTGGGCACCTTGCAAATAGGATGGCGGAGGTAGCGGCTTGCGTCCCATAAGAACGGTTGCAACGTCTTAACGCGCAGTAAAATATCGTAACTAAATCGCAAATGCCTGCCTGGTGGACTTTTAGCTTCCAAACTCAATGTCTTGCGTGTGAGAGTAAGTTGTGAGGATGAGGAGGAAGATGCGATGCAGCGACTGAGTAAGACGCTCGAAGTCGCAAGTGATCACACATTTTCGGCAGGCCGCAGTCTGAACAATGATATTTGAGATTGAGCTGCGATTCCTATGTAGGGACAATTGAGCATTCCGGACAGGCCCTCATCTGGATTTGCGAATGGATGGGCTTTGCAGCTCGAAACTCGGTGGGCTAGCGCGGGTTAACCGATCGGTTCTATCCGCCAAGGAGCGGAAGCCTGATGTATTGCTCTGATTCAAATCTTTATCTACTTCCTAGTCATCATTGAGATGATATACACAGCATGGGATCGATTTCCTGACTCTGTCTCTAAGAAATGGCCGCCAACTAAGATAGATTCAGTCGCGGCCAAGAAGCGGATGATGTACCCGATCGCAAACAGCGCCGTGATGCCCCGCAATTATCATGCTTGATGCCAAAATATCCAGTGAAACCCGGCGGCCTCTTACACAGTGTAGTTTCGGTAATCGGAGGTAGTGGATGCTCTGCGGACACGGGCCCGATGTAGGCCGATCGTCTCCACTACCTTACGCCGTATCGTCCGGACGCACCGTTTTAGGGGAATGTTAGCACTCCGAACATCGACAAACGGAATACTGCGAAGAGCAAAATATGCCGGCTCACTTACTCGCGTACCTGTGCAGGGCTCGAGAGCTGCGCGCCTGCGCGCCGAGTTGATCGTAACAACGGAAGGGTAGCTTGGGGACGAGGGAATCATGCCTGTTATTCCCAGGTGCAGGCAGTGTGCGAAGAGGAAGAATGTGTCTGCATGAGAACAAGGTCTACGTATAATGATGCATCCTGCGAATACCAATGTCGTAGTCACTCGTGCACATCGCACCTAGTACCAAAGGTCATCAAAATCTCGAATTCAACCAAGGACACGATTGAGTATTATTTGAACTCGTTATTGTGAAGGCTAAAACAGATGTGCGAATGTCGAGCGGCCGTACCAACATGCCAGTAGCAAGAAACGAACCCGGGAAAGAGAGTCTCGAGGCTAAGCCTCAGGATCAAAGACTCGCACTTGATTTAGTAGGTATAATATATTTGTGCTTTTGCTTAATTTCCCCAGGCCCATAGAGCTTCTATTATTTCGTCTGCTATTAAATGTGTCTCCTTACTAGAAAGGAGCAATCATTGTGAGTTGACTCCAGGTCAGGTTCAATTGAAATGGATGAGGACTTTGGCAGTGGTGGGCGGTGGTAAAGAGCCACTGACTGAACCGAGCAACACGCTGTTCTCAGTGCCCATCCTTGCAAGG